AAGACAGCACCATTGTCTATACGCCCGAAGGATGGCGAAAAAAATACAAGTAAAAAAATCCCGAGAAAAACGCATAAAGCACACCAAAATACCACGAAGTCTAAGCCTGCTTGGAGACTGCTAAAATGGAATTTCCTTGGGAAATGGATAAAGTATCTGGATCCAAATTAACTGTGGCTAAAACACTTAATCTTCTGTTACTGACGTAACTTTAAGGACATACAGGTTATACTAAGGAAATGGCAGACTTGCTAGGGAATTTACAGGCTGCACTGATTGTGTTATCAACTGTATATATGAAATGATAACGAAAGTGGGATAAGAAATGGCAGTAGAGGTCAATATCAAATAGATTTTCTCATCCAGAATATTTTTGTTTTACCGCCCTGAAATTGCATTGCATGCCTTTACTTTAAAGGCCCTGATTAATGATGGTAATTAAGTTAATGGAGACGTTGGTCGTAAGATAACCCCTGTAACTTATCATTCTACCAATATGGCCGTTGTGACAAGGGGTAGTTGGACAATGAGACTACCTGGCATTTAGACGACAGAAGTTGTTTTGTGTTCTAGTTCGAAACGACAACATCTAACTGAAATGCTCTCCATAGCTTCGTGATGCTGTCATAAGGTCACTTGTCATGTCACGTACCGATAAAACTTCTGTATATCTAGGCCCATACATACATACATACATATATACATGCAGGCATGCATCAATGCAAAAAAGATAAAGTACAATAACATAGTAAATGTATCAACACATGTAGCTGTATAATTGATATACCACTCCTCCTAATGTCTTCTGTAAACATTGTATAGGTCTGAATTCAAGTGTAGATTGTACTAGATAGATTAACGCAACTAGACAGTAGTCTTATAGAACGCTCTGCCTTACACTTCATAGTGTGTCCTCTATCGATATTGTATGGCTTGACGTGGAGACTGTACTAATTCCATGTAATTAGCTGGTAGTCTTATACAGCGCTTTGATTAGTTACTAGTATTACACAACACTTTGTCTTGCATTAAATCAGTTATGATTCTTGTGCACAGTCAAGTTACAGTCCAGTCAATTCAGACAGATAGGGCGGTCTTAGATTCTTGTCTGTGGCTGGTTCTGCCAGACACTGTTTGAAAATTCTAAGACATCAAAATCGTACGACGACCTTCACAAGAGACAAGCGTGCAGTAGAGTCCATTGCCATGTCTTTGACACAGTGTCAGAGAAATGACCTGTTCCCCTCCAAAGGTATGTGTTCAGTACTTCCCTTCCAGGCGAATGCCTCCTTAGAACGATATTGACATTGACATTGGAAGCCCGGAAATTCGCGACTAGGAACAAAATTTACGAGATGGACGTAAACAATTGAATCTACCTCTCCTAATAACTCCTATTAATTTTTTAAAAGTGCGTTCCTCGCGTCCCCGGTGTAAATTAAATTGAATTTCGCAGGGGATGCAATATTAATGGCCGGCCGGTTCGGGAGACGTTCCATTTAGAGAACACGCTCTGTGCCTGTCAGGCTCTGTGGAAACGACAGGAATGACAATGACATGCTCAAAATGGTAAAATGGCATGACGAAAAACTGGAGGCCTTGGAGGGTGTGTGTGTGTGTGTGTGTGTGTGTGTGTGTGTGTGTGTGTGTGTGTGTGTGTGTGTGTGTGTGTGTGTGTGTGTGAGGAGGGGGGGATCTCCAAGAAGACGTAGTGCTGCTGTTGTAGTATAAAATGGTCAGTTAGTCAGTGCCGGTCCGTCTGTCTGTACTTTGCTATTGGTAACCGGTTGTTTCGCTACATTGTCATTTGCTACAGTCGTTTCGTTTCACGGCATAAGTCGATTCGCTAGAAATCCATGTCTAACACTACGTCTTACATGCTAATGTTTAGATGTTTAGATAGGGAATGGTGCTTATATAATGATATGATACAGGTTTTCCCACGATTCAAGGTAGGAAGTCCAAAGGACAGTCGCTTGTTGCAATCCTAAAAGCAGGTCTAAAGTATTGTAAAACACTGTCCCGGAAACGAAGTCCTCTCACATACATATGTACGTTTATAAACCACCATTCTATCGTCTGTCTTTTTTGTCTGTTTTAATTTCTTAATTTCAATTTTAATTTATTTCTAGCAGGTCAAGACAGGAATATGACGTCCCTAACCGAAGCTAGGAACTCATTTGCACTTGAGTCGAGAGAGAAAACAGGTGTCAAGTGCCGTTTTCAAGCAGACCACACTGGGGGCCTGTCATGGATTCGAAGCCAGAACCTTTTTGAGCCAGTGCATCACACGTGACACGTCCTTGTCATGTACGTGCGATGACGTGATGACATGATGAAGTGTTGACAGTGACCTGACACATTCCTGTCACCCTGTCCCCCGGATGGTTGATTAGATTTTACGAGATTTAATAAAGCGTCGACGCCGTACCTGAACCTGACACAGACCTGTCATGTGCCTGACACCGTCCATATGAACCTGTCCCTTCCTGTCAGCCCTGTCCCCCGGACGATTGATTAGATTTTACGAGCGGAGGCGTCAGGAGAAATGGAATTATATTGTCCCGCTAATGCTTCCCGACTCGCGCCGCGCCGCTCACTTAAAGGGACCTGCCGCCCGCCCCGCGGCCCGCACGCGAGCTGTCACCGCCGCGACGATGTGCACAGAATCACCATCGTCATTCACCAGCTTATGCGAAGTCACATTTCCAAACCGGGGCCCGGCCGGGCAGTTTTTGGTGGGGCCTAAATCTGGTCAGACTGCTTACGAACTTCAGCCGAACTTTAGTGATATCATCGCAGAATAAACGTCGTAGACACCTGTGCATCGTGCGATGTATGTGGCCTGGGATGGATCTAGAAGTGCAGCGTTCATAAAGTTTAGTCTCCATCCGTCATTTCTGTCGGGCCCTCTCAGATAGACAAAGATAACTTACAGTAACAGTGTTGTGTTTTATATTGAAGTTGATTACTACTCTAGGTAGGCAAATTTTATACACTTTTCTGATAGCCCTCCTGAGAGAGCAAAATATCGAAAATGTCACAGAAAATGGCAATCAATTGCCTCCAATTGTCCTTATCCATCTTCTGAGTAATTTTGTCCACGTCCGCGTTCCTGTCTGACTGGATAAAGGTTTAGAAATATTACACCATCGCATTGTTTTTGTTTTCATTTTTGATCAGATCTCTTAAAGAATCTTTTGGGATTTGATATTTTGACAATATATGATTTTATCGTGGGTTCATGTGTCGTCGTACTTAAACACCATAAATATGAGTTCTGGCAGTTCAGCCCCAACGTTGTTTATCAATTAATTGCGTTAATCGAATAATTAATCGATTGCTTGATTGGCTGATCCAATCATTTCTTTCTCGGCGCCTGACACCGGGGCTAGTACATGTACATCCCTTCCGCGCCGACATCACAAATCGGCGTTTTATAACCCATTTACCGGCCTAACGTCCCGGTAAGCACCTCCTTCCGTGAGAGGCGCGATCGCCATTTGCGGCGGGCGGGCAGCGGGGGATTTGGTGATGGCGACACCATTGTTCCGCCGCGCGCTCACCGCCTTTCCCGCTCATTTCGCATTCTCTGTCCCAGGCTTTGATGTTTCCACCGGTGTCGTCCATCAGGCGACCTTCCTGACCCCCGTTTAATAATTACCTCGTCCCCAGAGTGAGACTTATTTAGGAAGCACCACTTTTTCGCCTTGGCAGAGATAGCAAGGGTGAGTACTGGGCCTGGTCTAGTCGGTAAGAGCGTCTAAATATCGTCTGATTAGGCCCTCTTTAAGTAGATGTAGATGGCGGCCTTACAGTAACCAAAGTTAGATTTGTGGGACCCTTGATTTTACAGTTGGAACATGTTACACGAGATATAAAGGTATGATTCAAAAGACATGGTGATGATAAAAGACAACAAACACACAAAACACACCAAACGTATACAAAAAAGTTCTTTATCTGTGAAATTTGTTGACCGATCTGTCAAATCGTTGGTCGTACCCTTATTGAAAGGCGCCCTACAACGGCCAATATTGGATTTGTGTGAGCCTAACTGTATTTAATAATTGGAATATAATATAAGATATAAAGATATTATTTAGAAGACACCAAAACATACCAAAGGTAAAAAATGTTTTTTTTAGTTTATAGAACTTGTTGAGCGATCTGTCCAACGTTTGGTCGCCCAGCAGCGGTCGCACTCTCTGGTGGAGTTGTTCGGAGTATCAAAGCAGTGTGGCTAACATGCAGTCCTTTCAAAATACTTAAGTCCCTCAGTTGTGTGGCCGATCGATTTATCGATTAATGCATCATTAAGCGGATTGATTGATAATGAATTGGCTTGATTTATGGCGAAACCGAGACCAGGGTCAGAGCTCAAATGGACTGGACGTAATTTGAGTCCCTGGTCACTTGGTCTAATGGACCAGTACAAACTACAAACCAGGGCAAGTTTTTCAACAAACTTGATTGGAAGCAAAATGGCATGCAACAATCGAGTAGTCAAGACTTGGATGCCATGGGGGATGTTACTAATGCAGTATCAGCGTATTTGGCTCCAAGTAGTCTTTTCCCTGTGTAGCGTTTTTTTTCCAGTACACCTCTGGCCTTGGGAAGAAAGGGCTAAAACGAAACGCCTAAAACGAAACGCCAAAAAAGAAACAAGAAATCGAAGATTCAACACCAAAAAGTATTTTGGATTGTTGTGAATTTTTTGTTTTCTTGATTATAGTGAATTTCTCACTGATTCTGTCTATACACTTTCCATAAGACGAAAGACATGCAACTGAAGACAGAAATGAGATAACCTGTTTACTATTCACGTCTTCCTACAGACGACCATTTTGGCCTTCCTGTCTGTCGTCCGCGGTTGCACCGTTTCCTGTCACTCTAATGCAGTCAAATGAGTACAGGTGCACAAGCAAACAAACAAACAAACAAACAAACAGACAATAAGTTAAGCCCTTGCTTGTCTATGATACAGAAGCATGTCCCACCTGCACGCGAACCTCCGGCAGGTTGATTTTCATGGCCAGCTCCTCCCTGCTGTAGACGTCCGGGTAGTGCGACTTCTCGAAGGCTCGCTCCAGTTCGTGCAGCTGGAACGTGGTGAAGGTGGTCCCGGTTCCGCCGGTGCTTCTTCTTCATGTCTTCTCCCGCCGGCGTCTTCTCGTCCTCCCCGCGGTCTGCCGAGGCTTCCTCCCCCGTCTCAGCCGCACCGCCGTTTGGAGTCTGAGGAACGGAAGAAAAACCTGGGGAAGAAATAAGAAAGACTCGTCTGAGCGATGTGTGTAAATCTGGCGCCAGGAAATCAAACGACGTCACCCACGGTTGATCATATACTCTTTATGTAACGTTTATACAGTTCTTCGTAAGAATTGTATTTCCTTTCGCAAGTGTGTACAAATCCGTCTTGAAGAGGTTACACCATTTTGTTAAGTTAACATGAAGAGAAGAGGAATGTGTTGGAGCTGTGGGCAAACAACTGTTTTTGTTTGTAGAATATTTGCTCTGTCAGCTTTGAAGTTTCTCTAAGGCTGCAATCGTTCAAGATGACACAGCGATAACTGCTGAAATCCTTTGTTTGTTATATGTACGCTGATAAGATATATCAAATGATGGAAAACTGTATGTCTCTTCGAATTCAACCGACAAGCTAACGAGTGACATACATGTGAGATCATCTGATCATGTATGGTACTGATTGCAAATATATTATTATAATCATAAAGTGTAACTTTGAAAATATCAGTCTTTTCCCATGCGTTTCGATTCTGACATAATAGTTGTTGTATGTAACGTTAGACTGTGCACGAATTTGAATAAATGGTGAAAACTGGCCGATATTGGGTAAATTTTTTCCCCAAACGAAGTCTGGTCGAGACTAGTTTCCTTCCAGGCTAAATAGGTCAAACATTAAAATTGAAAGGCCGCTATGATCGGGGGCTAATAGGTAATAATTGGCGCGCCCGCCATGTTTTATCCTGTCACCACCAATTGTCCGTTGACATGGTGACAAAGTGCAGACGACATCTTGGCACGGAGGTTCGCGCGCTTTTTCACAAAGGGGGTTCTAGTGTTGGGTCAACAACGGGGTCACAGTAGGAGAATAGATTTAACTTAGACCTCTATGGAAGACGGAAAATTGTTCATGAAAATATTTTTGCAAAAAATCTATTTTTGTGTTCCCGAGAACTGAAGTTGTTTATAAAAGACTGAAGTTGTTTATAAAAGAAACGGAAAGATTTGAGTAACCATCAATTTCTTATCCTACCAGTTTGTTGATTGACTTGGAATGCCTACTTACTCACTTATCATTTACCTGCATATACTGTTATATATTTGATACATATTATATGATTTAGTTATAATGCGGCTTACTTTAGTCTACCTTATTACTCTTATGCTTTGCATGTCTGTATTTGTGACTATATGTATATATTTTTGTAACGATGACGACACAAACATAAGCATTGTAGCTTGAGTATGTCGTCATCCTGTCTTGTTACTAAATGTTATAATAAATAAAAAAAAATAAAAAAAGAACTGAAGTTGAGTAGCCTACTTAGGTCTGCAACATGTCCATGTGTGCTTTTGCTCGGCAAATTGTAGACTAACCTGTTGCCAATGCAATTTCAGGGCGGCAAAACCAAACAAAACATTCTGGATGAGGACATCTGTCTGATATTGACATTTTCTACCATTTTTAAAACATACTTGAAGCGTTTGAAATAGCCCAAAAAAATCAAGCTACGTGAAGAGTACGAGTACCTTCATTTTATGCTCCACCAATAAATACATGTAGCTATAACGTTAACTAGCTACAACATGAAAATTTGGACATCAAGACAAAAAACAACCTCAGAACACATGGGAAGACACCGTAACGTTTCAACATATAGCTATGTCTGTCTGTCTGTCTGTATGTATGTATGTATACGTTCTTGCTAGGTTACAAACACTCGCTGGGTCACTCGTAACTATGAAAAGGGCATGCGTTTCAACAAAACTTCTATGCCAGCATTCTCTAAAGTCTGTCTTATATTAACTTCATTTCAATGAAATTTTTAATTAATTTTAACAATATTGACCATTCGGTGATGGTGACAATGTTCAAAGCGTTGCAAGTAAATGGCGGAAAACAACGGGCGTGTCCACGGCAAGTACCATAGCGTGCCAGCCGGCCGTGCGATTTGTGTGGCCTCGTCATTTAAACGGCATTTGTCGGTCATTTGTTGAGCGAGCACTACATAATAATACATCGTCACGTAAACGACATTCGCACATTTCTTGGAACATTTGAATGACCACTAAATAACAATGCCTCAGCCGTTTCACGGCGTTCGCAGATATTGTTTGTAAGACCTTTGGAAGGGCACTAGAGTAGATCGTCATATTAACGGTATCCGGATCCGTAGATTGTTGGTTGGGACTTTGAAGGAACAGCAGACAACAATGGCTTAACATTTTAACGACATTCGTGAATTGTTTGTCGGTACATTTGAACGAGAACTAAGTGAGAATAGTTGACAGTGTTCCTACTTTGTTTGACGGGACGCAGGCTGGTTTTAGAAGAATTTTTTTGAAACTAAGATTAGATTTATGTCAGAGATATCAGATCACAAAGGAAAACATCACTGAGTATTAAAGTAGTAGTGCAGTAGTAGTAGAAATCCTCAAACACAGTGCTTTTTCCTTGCATAATGATTGCTTCAATCTTTACTATGATTAATACAGTCTCCAGAATTTCTGTGCATTTTCCGAAACAGGGTGTGTAGAGCAGGGGGCACATGCACATAAGGTATCATTCCATAAGTTCCAACAACGTAACATTTTATGTAGTTTCTTCGTTGTTAGTCGGGTTTATTTCAATGGGGGCATGTTGGCCCTGGGGCAGAAGAGCTGGCCTGTGTAGGCTCTAGAAGCAGTTCGGCGTTCAGTTCAGTGTTGGAGGGCGCCCTCGCGTGATCCAGGTGCGGCCCTGGGACCCGGTATTCCCACCTCGGCAGCGGCAAAGTGGCACCGGGAGACGGCCGATCATCGCCCTATAGTCCAGCCTTCCCCATAGATTATGTTCAGTCTAACGGAAGGGAAATAAATGACACTGAAACCGAACACCACACCAGTGGTTCGGGATGTACTGCAACAACTGATACAAGAACGGCCCAGTCAGTGTATGTTTGGGGGTTACACTAGCTTTTACATGTCAGAATAGGTTGATAATATTAATCTCCAAGCAGATCTTTTGGTGGCCTCATTGGCAGCAGAGCAGTATCCAATATGCCACCCGAAAAAACAGTACAGTCAACCAGGCTCCAGACATGGCCTTCCCGTCCACACCTGTAAGTTTCAAATTTTGAAACGCCGAGCACTAGCCAACCTTGCCTAGCCCGTGCTCACTGAGATATTTTGTGTCCAGTGACAGTGTGCTATGGGTCTGGCACCCAGGCTAACCTTTCCGAACTCCAGCCAGCCACAGCTGACATTACTCCCGACCTACTCCCGACCTTGGGGGACTTCGGCAGTGTTCCGGAGGTCATATTTAGCTGTGTGTGACAGGGATTTTAGTGAGTACAGATGTAACCGTGAAGTGGCCGTCGAGTGATATAACGTGTTGAATATTGAGTAAGAAAAATACACTATTCACTTTTTTGATCGTCTATTTGACTGCCGACTGAATAAACTTAACAGACGACGGTTCATACGTGCGCCTCTGAACCGCTGAAATAGAATTAAGCGCGGTTTTTTAAAGTGTCAGAAATAATTTGTATAACCCTTATATAAGCAACAGTTGACGTATTCGCTGGAAGGCAGATATAACTGAATTGAACCGGACAGAGCCAGAGTAGGGCTTTGAAATTTTCTCCATAACCGAAACTTCTTTAGTATAATAGACCCTCCATTCTGTGTAAACTACCGACAAATGTAGACGTGCTTCAGGTTATGAAGAAGGCAGAGGCAGTCGGTAAGAACAGACGAGCAGACAGAGCATTACATAAGGTAGGGGAGCCACCAAAATGCCTGGCATCGAGGCTACAATCGCATCTAGCCGAGCGCTTGCCCACTATACCGCCCATTGAAAGGACGACCACTTGAAATGAAATTGATATCGGCCAAAAATTGCAATGTATATGATTCATCAATTGCGAAAGATCATACGTACTTTTAGTCAATGTACAAAACGCTTAAAATTGTCCGTCAATTGTAATGTTTTCTGTTACTATGTACGAAGATACGGAATTCCATCATGAGAGAACCAGTGGTCACTGGAAGAATAGCAGAAATTAAGTTGAATTCGCTCGCAAATTATCTAGGCTATTTGGCTAACTCCTACCCATTTATTCACCGAATTTGTAGGATTCACATAACAGGTGACTATCGCCTTTTCAACCCTAAGACTAGATTGTCATGATAATCTCCAAGCGGATTCGGTGGGGAAAGGGGACTTTATGTTGGCTGCCTGTATCCAACGTTCGTGGCTACAGGCGGCCAACATAAAATCCCCTTTCCCCACCGAATCCGCTTGGAGATTACAGACTGTAAGGTTTGAACTACTCACGCCGGAAAAGACCGTTACTCTTTTGGATTTTAAACGTGCTCAAAATGTGGCTCGCCTCAAACACAGGACCTCCTGTCCTATATATCCCAGAGAACGCCCCTAACCGAAGCTGTGTATTCATTTTCACCTGAGTCAAATGAGGGATTGGAAGTTAAGTGTGTTGCCCAAGAGCACAACACTGGGATTCGAACCCAGAAATTGGGATTTTGAGTCCTAACCACAAGACGTAAGGTGCACCTTGCTGCTATTTTACCTGCTGAGGGGGGATGGGAATAGCAATGTGAAACTCCGGGGAACAGGATGAATATGACGTAGAACGCGTGGGTGAACCACCTCGTCGTTTCCTTGCGTTCATTCGATTTCCTTTGCACTTCAGGCCATAAGGTTTGATTTTTCGACAACTAAGAATATTTTCTGGAACGTTCGCTGATGTAAGTCCCTGTCGCTCGAGGGGAACACGCGACGTTTTCTGGACGTTCTGTTCTTCTGATGTTATTTCAAAACGTACGAAACTTTCATGTTTGCCGACAAATTAAGGTGAACACGGAAAAAACACCAGAGGAAAGAAGGACACAAAGCCTTCCGAGTCTTTGCTGGTTAGGAAATATAATTCTAAAAGGAACGTCCCGACACCTTTACAATTTGTTTTCTCGAAATGGGAACAGAGTTCAGCAAATATTCCAAATATTGTCAATAGTCGTTATTAGTAGGTAAACGTGGAGGCAGATGCGGACAGCAAAATCGTAGGAACATTGCTATCTAGAATAAATCACATCTATGGTCACCGCTGGAAAGCTCTCTACCTTATTTCACTGTCCTTTCCGACTAGTATAAAACTGAGAAACTTGTATGGTTTGTGAGAGGGGATTTCTGGACTGTTTCTATCATTCTAAACTGTGCATGGAGCTAGAAGACTTAGTGTCATGCGTTCAGAACGTTTCTAACATAGCACCAAGTCTGCATGACTGGCACAGTATGTAAAGGAAATTATTTAGGCATAATCATTCAGAGCACTGAAAGAAAACACGGGCACAGCAGAAGGGCGGAAAAATTTGGATAAATGTACTTAACAACATGTACATGTTTGGACATGAGCCACGGGCAACGTAACAAAATGTATGTGTTCTGAGAGATTCCTGTTCCACGGCATTAAAACGCCGTCTGATATTGAGTTGAGACCCTTGTTGCGACAGGTATCTAAAGATGACCAGAACACTTCATATTATGACCGTCGTCTGACGCACAAGTTACGGCTCTGTAAACCTCTCACTGGACTTTCCTTCATAACACAACGTTGAGAGTTCCGTTAAAAAATGTATCTCTCCTACCCGTAGCTGTATCAAGGAGGTTACAACATAGAATATATATTCTCTCTCGGTACCGGCGGCGTCGCTATATGATCAGTGACCGAGCATATACCGATGCCAATGCACATCACCTAAAACAAGGAGGTTATACATGTAGGCATAAAGGACCGACAGATTGTCGAACCTACGCGCTTATCTCGGCAAAAATTCGGAAGACTGGCGTGCAGAGAAAAACATGTTTACTAGCTTTACACTGCAGATATCGACATAGCATTGTGACGTACAGCCTACGTACAGCTGCCTCTTATTCTTATGAAAGGTCTTGAGAGAACTATCCAGGAAACGGCCGTGACTGGGCCCAGACGACGGCGCAGTCAGGGCTCTGTACTAACTAGTGCCCACAGCCTCCGCTCGAGACCGAGTATACGGCAGAAACAGATCTAGATGTCCAAATATGAGGTGGCTGATATACCAGTAAAGTCACTTGGCTAGAGAGGGTTCTCTTCGTTTCATCTAAAACGGTTTACCTGAAGTTTGGCTAATTTCTACTATATTTCCGCTCGGAAAGGGTTAGGGTACTCACCGTGGGTAGAGTGTGTGCCGTTCGGTTTGGCGGTGCGATTCTCGTCGTCGCTGGAGCTCAGGACGTCCACCACGAGGTTCAGCGCTTCGCTCTGGTCCTGGCCGTCACCGTATGCCGTCGGGACGTCGTCGGGCTCGGAGCGGTGTCTCCCCGCCTGGTCACGGCCGGGCTCCCGCATGTGGAGGCCGAGGATCGCGTCGATGGTGTGGCGGGGCCCGCCGGTGCCGTGGAGACACGGGGGAACCGGGCGGACCGGTGCGGTCTTCGTCTCGGAGCTGCTGTCGTTCATGGCAGGCGTACGTTCTTCTCACAGGTACAGCGCTTGCAGTGCCGAAAACAAATGTCTTCAGGCCTCGGTGGTATACCGTATCGTCACGGAGAGCTATCCTAACTTCACAGGACCTGCCAGCCAATCTATATAACCGACGATACCGACACGCGAGTACAAAACACACGGTTTGCTCCAGGGTGGGCGGGCAAGAGGGCTGACAAAGGCGCGCTGTCGTCCAATAAGGTTCCCCGACTCTATGCGTGAGCGGTAATGATGATAATATACCCGAAGGGCGTGATGATATGATTAAGGAAATACCATTGGCGCGAGCTGGTTCTCTAACAATCATAATTGTGGTGTCAAAAGAAGCGATTATGCCCCGTGGATAAATGATTTGTCCGAGGGGAATAACTCCTCTTTGAGTTTGCCATTACTAGAATGGACCCTACTCCCACTGGACGTGACTGCACTTTGCTTACGGAAAATCATCGATAAATTTAGCGTTAATTCCACGTATAGTTTAGGGAACGACATACGGATATATATGATGTGGGGGAAGCTTCCTTCAGCCTGCTAAGGTAGCCGTTTGGTATCACATGTGTACTGGTTATCGGGTTAAGGCAGCAAGGAGAAGGTAGAGGTTAACCTCCTTCGCAGACTTCTTGAAGCGTCGCCGTTTATTATCTTGGAACGCGATTTTTTACAGGGGCTAAAGTGTTCTCTAATGCGGCAGAGGGTGTTATGCTTTGGGCTTCAGTGTGTCTCAGCCACAACTCTCATGCTAGCTTCCAAATGGCAGTTGTTGAGACATCTACATAACAGGTTTAGAGTGGTTTACGACACTGACGCTCCTTGTACTTGAATACCATTTGTGGTTGTACCACTTGTATGACCACAAGGCCTAGATAATAATTGCTCTGATTGCTGTCGTTAGATTGTTTTTGTACCCGAATATTGTATATTTATAGTACATTTTGCATCTTAATATCTATCAATTCAACTTAGGATTTTCAGAACTGGTCGGTGACAAAGATCTACGATAACAGTTCTGTCAGAAGACAGCACTGTTACATTGTTGGTACGACACATTTACGACTGCGCCAAGAATGTACCTTCAATTTGCTGTCGTAAACCTATCGTACGAATATGACCGTGTTCTTCTGCAAATGTCAGGAAATAAACAAGAGTTTTTAGGCGTATTAGTTCGAGAAAGCCCCTTATCCTTGTATCTCGATACAAAAATGGGTTTACACAGACTGAGGACACTTTTGGGATAGTCGTGCATGCGTCCTGTTCTAGATCCTTGCCGGAGGTTGGTTCTGTCACGCCTACTTGAAAACCGTACGGCATGAACATCGTACGACATGAAACTCGCACGACGATTGTGATCGCGCCTTTCATCCACATCAGAGATTTCAATTTCCACGAGAGAGTCCCGACTCAATAACCTCTCTTTCAACCTTCGTCGTGTGTATAAATGTCAATTCAAAAAACATGAAAGACGTCTATCATTCCCCCATTCCACCCTGATTGATAATTAGAAAAAAAAATGAAAAGTAATCATCACCATTATAGACAGCCCTTTGGGCAAGAGTTTATTTATTAAAATTTTCCACCAGGAGGGGGGGAGAACAGGCACGCTGAACCTTATATACTGTGTGTGTGTGTGTGTATGTGGTGTGGTGTGTGTGTGTGTGTGTGTGTGTGTGTGTGTGTGTGTGTGTGTGTGTGTGTGTGTGTGTGTGTGTGTGTGTGTGTGTGTGTGTGTGTGTGTGTGTGTGTGTGTGTGTGTGTGTGTGTGTGTGTGTGTGTGTGTGTGTGTGTGTGTGTGTGTGTGTGGTGCGTGTGTGTGTGTGTGTGTGTGTCCTGTCTATGTATTTTCTGTCTGTGTACCTCTCTGTGTGTGTGTTTGTATACGTGTCTGTGTGTGCGTCTGTGTGTGTTAGTGTCTGTGTGCATTTGTGCGTGTCAGTGTGAAGTCTGTGTATGTTCCCCATATAGCCAAGTTGAAAATACATGTATGTAACAGACAACTCCAAAATCTCGCCCAAGATAGAATAATGACAACATTTGCTACGCCACACACTAACTCTCACTCTCATAAAATACTATGCATTGGGTAGTTTGTGAGATGACATAAAAGATAACAATGTGCATGAGATGACATAGAAGATAACGATGTCTTTACTCTATGGCTTATTTTTATGGGGACAGGCTTTGGATCACATTTTATTGACAATTTTTAAAACAAAATTTAAAAAATGGATGGTGTACTTATCATTATCAGGTAAATTATCCAAGTACCTGTCACTAGTGTTAGATCCTTGACAATAAATATAAAAGTCTGGTTAGTGACAGTAATAGACACGACACTTCTGTTCTGTTTCTCCTTCTATATGTACAGTATCATTACACGTTCACTTGCAATTAGCCTTCGGGCCTGAGTTTTCACACAAAGAATATATCAATATCATAAAGGACAGTCTGGATAGTGTGTGAATGGGGTTAATGACATAATCATGACCAGATGGCCTCTGTGTTCTCGCGGACATCTGCCGATATGGGCAGTCACAATTATCAATAAAGTACACATTACCTTCTCGTTATTTGCTTCACTGTTATAACTATGTTACCAACGTACGCGCCCTTTGGAAGACTTGAAAATTTGAAAATGCTAGCTATGCAGACTTTATCCAATAGCGCCCCTGTCGGCGGTTGGTTCTGTCATACACGGCCTGCTTGAAATCTGTGGCATCAAAATCGTACGTACGCCTGACTACGACGAATGTGACCGCGCCATAAGGAAAGTAGCCTTCTGTTAACATCTGCTTGGAGATTAGGCTAGCTGGGCCCCATGTCTCCTGTCGGAGAGGATTTTGGTGCCGGCGCTAACGACCCCCGGTCCCCTCCCTCGTCCCACCAGGACGCCCGCCCTGTCTGTTGTCCGTGTCCCTCCCGACCCTTCGTCCCTCATTACTCCAGTTTCGCGGTCATTGTGTCCGTAATGCCCGCCAGGAGGAAGCAGATCTTCTGGTGGCAGCAAGACAGTATCAAATTGGCAAGACAGCTACGGAACTGTCGTTCCTTACTCTCCAAAAAGATGTTGGGGGGGGGGGCTGTGAGTCAGAAGAAAACGCTATCAGAAAACGGTACAATCGTCCCTCCCAAAACGAGTCCTATGTGTCCTATATCTGTTCCAATCCATGTGGAGCGGACTTAAGCTTATCTCCAAGTGATGAATCCAAATTGTATCCCTTCTCTCTACCGGGCCAAGAAACTTTCCAAAAAAAGTTATGTAATGTGGACCATAAATGGGTCGAGGAGATACTCTCACAAGTAAAGACATATTCAAGCGAAAGACTTTAATAAGACTAAGAAACATTTAAGAAAAGTTATGTAATGATCATAATGGTTCGAGGAGATACTCTCACAAGTAACTAAATATTCAAGCTTTATCCACAATTCCATGCAGGTTTCTTAAGAATCAAAATAAGACCAAGAAACTTTTTAAAAAGTTATGTAATGACCATAAATGGGTCAAAGATGCTTCTCATAAGTAATCATATATTTAAAGGCTTCGTCCGCAAGCCCATATATCTCCTATCTTAAAAATCAAAATCGTATAATCGTATCACTTCTGTTCCTGGGACCGATCAGAAAGCCTTCGAAAAACAATTCCCGAGGGAACGCATTCTTGTAATTTTTAGAATATTTTCATCTTGATCGCAGTACTTTACTAACGACTCCGTCTCTGATGCGCCCATAAATGTGTCAATGAGAAACTCTCGTGGGTAAGGAGATATTCAAAGGCTTTGTCCACCAGCCCATGTTTTTATATAAATCAAACTATATATATCCCTTCTGTCTCTGGGACCCAAAAGCGTCCCAAAACCAATTTCCAAGCTAAGGGAACTCATTCGCAGTATACTAGTAGTACTCGATTGAAATACTTAACTAAAGCTTCCGCCCCATAGGGATTGCCAAAAAGTTATGTACATAAATGGGAGAGGTTGAACTTCAATTAAGTCTAATAAATGGAGATAGGAGATAGTGTCATAAGTAGTCTCAAACTAAAGACTTTGTCCACAACCATAGGTCTCTTATGAATCAAAGTAAGACCAAGAAACTTTTTAAAGTTATGTAATGTATCATAAATGGGTCAAGGATGTACTCTCTTTAGGCTAGAAATGTTTTTTTTGCATACCCGCACTGGTGCAGTATGAATCGCACTTCAAATAAACTGATCAGAAAGCATCGCCATACACTTCGTGCAAAATGTAGACGATACCAGTCAATAAAAAGCCAGATATATCTATATAAGCCCAGTACATGGGCCAGTGCAGGTTAGGTACAGAAAGGCACCAGCGAAACTCAAATTGCACCTAGTACCTGCATATGCAGGTAGTATTTCGATCCCTGGAGGCTTTGGGCACAAGCCCAGGTTTCTTAAGAATCAAAATTCTATCCCTTCTATCCCTGGGACCAAAAACAAGTTATCTAACGGACTCTAAATGGGTCAAGGAGTATATTCAATGCATCTTACGAAACCAGCAGTGGTGTTGTAAGACATGTATGATATGTATGATGATGTAACAATGGCGGCAATTCAGCCTACAAGCCACAGCCAGGTCTGTGGAACGATAAACCATTTTGATCGATCGATTGATCAATTGATTGATTGATTGATTGTCTATTAGTGAGAACACTGATTTTTTTCGGTTTTGTTTTACATATACATGACAAGAAAGTGCGTCTGAGCCTGACTTTTGAAGTCTAAGGCTTACCGTTGTGAATTCGCATGTAAAAAATAATTCCACAGGAGAAAAGTTTTCTCTCAATTCTATCCCTTTAAAAGCAGGGCCTGTCTGTTTTTATTTCCTAATGACGAAGTTAGTTTCGTGACGAGGACTGATTGACAGGTGGTTGTAACGCGGAGGGCCGCAGGACCTTTACCCAGAGCGCCTTGCGATTGGGCTTCTCACGCAACCTGTGGCAACTGATGTATGTTCAAACTTAAATTTCTTTAATTGTGTTACTAAAAGTAGCACTTCGTAGGTGGCAGCGAAACGTAGCGTCAGACAACAAACAAACAACTAATGCCCCCAAACCATCACCTTTGGTGGTAATCTCTCCCATCTTCTTCTCTGCAATCAGCAGCGTAATTGCCATTGTTC